CTCACCGCTATCTACAGAAATTACTTTTAGTTTGAGCAGGTTTTATTATTGTACAGGCCGACGACCTGTCATATGTTGCCGCAATTTCGCATAAACAGTTGACTGACTACATGAGTATGTGATGCATATTGAGTTAATCAATCTCAGAATTTTTGATGTACAAATGACTAGAAATTAGAGATGCATTCAGCTATGGGCCTGGTGGCTCTGTAATTTGCAATGACAACAAATTCATAACTAATATCTGCAGCACTGCAGTATTCAATCAGATTTGGAATATGGGAAAAATGAACAAAACAAGAAATATTAACCAGATTAGCAATCAAAGTAAACGGTAGACAACTCAGAAGAAAATGAGCACCAGAGGTTGAAACGAGTAAAAGACACTTTCTAAGATCAATGGCTACCATTACACAAGTAAAAATAGGGATCTTCTTGAAATACAGCATAGGCGAATAGAAAGTTCCATGAATTGGGAATGCATACGAAAAAATGAAGAATTCACATATGATAACTCATTTTCTCATTTCGAGTACTTGACTCTTGAATTGAGACCATTCCGCTATTAATCTGTGTTATTGGCAGGCATTGTTTTACAGAAAGAAGTGGTGGTAGCGCCTGGGACAAGAAGCATCCCATCACATGAAAAAAAATAATGAACATTGTATCATTGGTACAAAATATTTTCCAAGAATTATATTTGGATAAATTTCATTTTGACCCCCTAAACTATTTGTAGTTTCCCATTTCAATCCCTAAATTTCAAAATGGGACACTTAAGTCCCCAAACTACTGAATCCGTCCCAATTAATTAAAAACATTGATAGAATCCACAAAACCATCAGAGTTTTTGCATCATGTAAAACATGTACTATTGACCAAGGGCAAGGATGGAAATTCAAATAAAATATATTTAAAAAGAAAAGGGAATTTATTTTATCCAGCACATTCGGGTCATATAATCGACCCGATCCAATTCATAAAAGGGAAGTGATGTTTCCTAAGAAAATAGAGAGCAATTGGCTGAATCTCCAAATAAGAGGTAAAAACTAAGAAGAAAAGAGCATATGAAGATAAGAAAAGAGACAAAGGAAAGATCGCACATTAAATTTATCATGATTAAATTTTTTGCATGTTAGAAAGACACTCCGCCTACTTTGCTTTAAGATGTCAAAGAATCACTATCCTTGTGATGAATTTGCTCCAACAATAAAGACAATCTTCTACAGGATATAATAAAACTGTTCTCTTGATTTCTCAAAAGAAAGTGTAAAAATCGTACATCAATTTTGATTGAATCCTCGTTATAGATGTTAAAAGAGGGTGTTTGAAGAGTTATTACTGTATTTTATATAGCGGATACAAGTACCGGAGTAGGAATGGCCAAACATTTGAGTCCAAACGGGCATAGTGTCTAGAGAGCTATCATTAAATCTTGACACAGTTCGGACTTCAAAACATTTAGTTTGGCCCACGAACATCCACTTTGACAGATTTGCATAGTTTTGGCAAACTACTCAATAATTCCCCACTAATTTGCAAAACTTATGTATCTTAACCCATGGAGTCTTCAATAATACAACTTTAACTGATGAATCTTAAGCATAATTAGAAGTATCTCTTGATTTAAACTTCCAACTGGTGTAGGTGATTTAAATTTTTAATGGAGTTGTTAGAGTTCTTAAATTGAACTATAACTCTTATATGTCAAAGACGAAAACACAACACAATTAATTATTGTCTTCTTTTCTCAAGAGGTTAATATGAGCTTTAATTAGAGCTATTTTAGCCACATGCTAATCCTAGTTTCACAATCATCTACAAAAGTATACTCAAACTCTTGTTGAAATGGCATCACTTCAATACTTATACAGGTAAAATTGTACTTGTAGAGTTCTATGTTTATGTCATGCAAAATCAACAGCAATCCCACTCATGGGAGTACTGTAAAGTAAATATTATTGACTAGGAACTTATGTTAAGCAAATTTCTTTATGATTTACAAAGTCAAAGCTATCGAACCAGTGAGGGTGTTTCTGCCTAAGTCCAAATGAGACAGATATTCGAAAGAAAACAATGACCTTGCAATATTTCCAATGAATTTATTGCTCTTCAAACTGATGTATGTTATGTGTGCGTAATTCATCTAACAATCAGGAATTTCTCTTGATAAAGAATTCTTTTTAAGATCTAGAATTGCAAGGCCTGATTTTCCATTCTTCATTTCACACAAAAAGTGAGAAATACCTCCTGAAAACAAATAGATTGAAAGGTCTAATTGTTTCAGAGAATGAGAAATTGATTGTGCTAGTGGACCATTGAATCTGTTTGACTATCATAAATATATAATCTTTCAACAATTTCAGAGATGTTGAACTCTTACCATGAAGTTGATTGTGAGAAAGAGACACGAATCCTGTTGTTGAGTTGAATAACCAAGGGGGATAGTATTTGAAATTCCTGTGGAAGACAAATTCAAATACCGAAGGGTTTTTTGAGACATATAGGAAATTGAAGACTGAGATTCCAAGAACCTAATCCAAGTCTTTCAAATGTGCTAAAAGAGATGTTGGCATTAAATGGCATGGTGGTTTTTATCCTCCACTTTCTAAGCACTGTTACCGGTCAGATTTTGTGGCCTTCAATGCCAACAATGTTTCTTATCGTCCTAACACTGCTAGCTTCGCTTATCGATATTTCCAGTGAAGAAATCGAGAAGTTGCCCCACTAATGGGGAAGGTATTTTTTCAGCAAAATTGAGCATCTTAAATTGTTGCCTTTCTTTACTTTATTGTTATATTTCAAGTGAAAGATATCATGTCAATTTATGGACCATGGACGAATTAATATGAAGTGGACAGAACTTGGACCAAGTTAAAATCTCATTTGAAATTTCCGACATTTGGTGTTGAACACCGATCATATATATGCTCAAACCAAAGCAGGCCACTGCAAATGGTGCAGCTAGTTTCGTTAGAAGCCTGATTAGGCCCTGTCGGGGCGGTGGAACAGATTAGACTAGCAGATGTCAGTCTATTGATCATTGGCATGAAAATGCCTTCTTGGATGTCTTCATGTACCAATTTCGAACTTGTGTAGCACTAGTTTTACCTCTTCTGGTTGCCAATTCTATATTCTTAACTAAAAGCTCATTTCTCCAATTTCTTATTCAAACTTAATTACAATTGAAGGTGTCCACTTGTTGTGAGTGCAATTATCCCAATCCAGAATCCCCTATCAATAAGAGGTGGTCAAATTTTTGGTCCATTAATTTGCCGTTGGACTCGAAAATTTTTTCTTTTGAATATCAACGGTTTCAATAGTTATGTAACCATAACTTTAGAATAGTAGCTGTTGAGCTGCCTTCTAAGTTATATGGAAAAGTCTGAAGTAACAATCGTTATGGTAACGAAACTGTTTTGACATGATATGATAGATAAAAACACTTTTAATAACTATTTGATTACCTGTTGAACCAGTTACCTAATTTTAATCTTACAATTAAAAACTTACTAATATTAATATTAATTATTTTAATACAATATTTAAAAAGACGCTAAAAAACTTGATGTGTCGCTAAAGTTAATAGAAACCTACAATAATAAATTATCCTAATTTCATACCATAACTATAGTCACTATAGCATTGTCCTGTATACATGTATGTTGTCAGTTATTGCTAGAGAAGGATAATAGTTGTTGCTGGCTAGTATGTAATTAGCTTCCCATTGTTTTGTAACATCCAAATGTCACGTTTGCAAGAAGATAGAGTCCAATATATTTGACATTTTGACAGTCAGCCAATGAAAATAAAATACCTCTTTCACAATAATAAAATTAGAGCTCAGTGGTAAACATATCGTACCAACAGGGATTAAAATTATTTATTTCTTTCAAAATAATTAATAGAAAGGAGGGATTTTGGAGATTAAACCAACTAATTAATTTAAACACAAAATAAACATACAAAAATTAAGTAAAATTAAATTAATAATAATGGAGCTCTAGCCAAAGTATTAACTTCTGAAATGCTTTTCTTGACTATCTTGATAATTAAAGTACGACCATTCGCTACTTTCCTAATTCAAAAGATAATCATATGTATGACCAACCATAGGATTTAAACTTACAATTGCATTAGAAATAAAAAAGCTCAATTCTAATCAACGAACACGCTATGGAGGTTTATTTAATTTTGATTATATATCTCCCTAACACAAACTCAATCAAGCCATTCACCACAAATATTGACCTATAGTTTGTTAAGCTCCTTTGTTTTCCTTCAATCTTCTGTACAGTAATCTGCTTCATTAGGTACATTAAATTAAGAATCTAGTAGGAAAGTAAAAAGAAAGAAATAGTCAGCCATTCATACTTGAAATTCACAAGCACAAAGTTTCCAGTGGAGAAAGACACAGAAACTGCTAAGATAGGATAGGATAGGTCCTACGTCAATTAAAATGTCAGATGTTCTTTCTTGGAAAACCTGCCAAAAGGAATCAACTGTGTATATGCCCTTCCTGAGCTTTGCGAGGCAATGGAACAAAAGAAAAGCAAAGCAATAGAACAAATATAAAATGTTCGATATAACCTTATATTGGGACTAGGAGGTATAATCTGCGCGGTGCGCGGAGGTATAGAAAGAGAAGATGCCCAAGACAAGCATATGATATGGAAGGAAAATATCGGAGGAGGATATAAAGCAAAAGGCAGAAAAAAGGATGAAAGGATAGACACACACAAGATTCATAAAGCATCGAAAATCAAGGCATGATAAGCAAAATCCATAATAATAAAGCATCGAATTTGCCGCTACTCATATTAGACTTTGTTAGAGCTACTAATAACCGACAAAGTTGCAGCAAATCACTAACATCTCACGGCAGCCTTTAATTCATAAAGAAGGAGCTATAAATATTTGATACAAGGTAGTCTCTTTACTCCTTTGTAGATGGGCCTTCAACTCCCTGCATGAGCTAGAACAGGAGTACAATTTTTGGCTCTATGTTTAGTTGGTCTTTGTTGAAGATGATCGGCTACTAAGGGAATGACAGCTCCACTAAATTTTACATGGTCCCAGAAATCACCCCCTTCCTTTCCAATCCCCTTCCACTGTTTTCCTGTCTTTTAGCAACTTGCACATTGCAGGCGGAGGAGATTATGAACTTCTATTTTGTGACTGCAAAAACTGCTGGCCCTTCCACCTGGAAAATATCACCAAAAAGATATTGCAAAAGAGAACAAATTTCAGCATCACCAAACCAGAGTGAATCTAAGCCATGATTTTAAGACAAGCCCACATGATAAACAATCATCTTTGACCAATAGATCCCCCTAATAAGGGACCAAATGACCTCACTGAGTATATGCTCCTGGATTTCAAAAAAAAAAATGGTTTGCACAATTTTTTTTTCTTTTCTGTGTTATTTGGCTGGTAACATAGAGAGAATCTCATCTGTTTACCATGAACTTTGCTCCCCATATTTCTTCCTCTTTAGCTGGAATTGCAGTGATCTTATTCTTTGGATTCTCATAGCTTCTCAGTTCACCCAAAGCTGTGGAGAAGAAGGAACCTGAACAAACAGACATCAACGCACATTACAAGATTGGAATTGTTCAACATAGCAAAGAAATTTGAAAGAAAAGATGTACTAACAAAAAGAAAGGAACTTTAGTGTTCCTTAACACAAGCAGTTAATGTATTCATTAATTTAAGAATCAATTCTTTGATGGCTGAATTGAGCGCCTAAGAATCAAATTTACCTTGAGGGAAAGATGCAAGGGACTTGCCACAAGCACCTTTAAGCAAGTCAGCATCATCTGCAAATGCTACCCATCCATCAGCAGTGATTCCACAATATAGAGGAACCTTAGCCTTTTCATCCCGTCACAACATCACCAACCAGACTGTTAAAACATTTCAATTAAGTCAAATCGGTAGGTAAGGAAATGCGAAGATCACTCACAGTAGCCACAAACAAGGTGGAGGTGGCCTTGCCGAAGACAATAAATGCAAAATTCCCTTCTGGGTGGCCAACAACATGGTTTGGAGGATAACGTGCCCTGTCACGAAGCGCCTTGTATGCTTCAATCATCAAAACCACCTCATTTGAAGACTTTGGAAGCCTGTATTGTTGCTTCAGACTCCCTAGATTATCAAGTGCTCCCTCAAACAAGCAAAATATGTCATCCTTAACTGCGAATGACCTACAAATTTGTATTGCCAAGTTAGTTTCACATGTCACTTTTTAAAAAAAAATTGATTCACATAAGGCCTAATTACTGCTAACCAACCAAAAATAGGTTTGCAAGTTAACAGCTTTAAAAGTTAAAAGATATATGTATATTTCATCAGATCATCGCACGGTACTGACTACAAAGGTCCCAATTTTTTGCTTCTTCCCCGCCAACTCTCTCCCCATTTTTTTTTTTTTTTAAATAGACTCTGGCCGGGAGGGGGTTGGGGAGTTGGACTTATTGGGGAGGTTGACTGACTGAATGGAAATGAATGGGAGTGAGTTCAAGTAACTTGATTCTCAAGATAAAATGAAGCTGCTAAATTTACCTCTGTGTTTTCTTTTCTGCCAATTGATTTTGTTCCGTATTAATCACTAAAAATAATAATAACAATAATAATAAAACATATTCTTACTTTAGCCGGTACTTGTAAAAGCAAGAATGTACTTTCACTTTTAGACCCAAAGGCATTGCATGTAATAATTAAAAACAACAATTGAACAAAGGGAATTAAGGGAAGTGCTGATCGATCGGACCAACTCTCTATTTCTTCTCAAAGTACAGTTTGATTTGTAAGCAATACTCATTGAGATTGGCTGCCGGCAACATATGTGATATGATATGCGCGGTGGGCTGGGGTGGAGGTCTTTCAAAATGGTGTGAACCAACTATATGCGAGTATTAACGATGTTGCTTGAACAAGCTTGAACAAGCTTGAACAAGGGACAATCCACAAAAGCTTGAACAAGGGAAATAGAAAAAATGGGAAAGCACATCAGAACAAAGAAGGTAGTACCTTAGAAAGGGCAAAAAACAGAGCAAGCTGCGGAAGATGCTTCTGCGCTTCCAACTCTATCTTAGACAGAGAATAAGAGTCCAGAAATTAAAAATCATTCTACCTGCAACCTGAAAAAAGTGAAAAAAATTCAATGCAATGAAGGTTTTAACCCAAAACCAAGAGAAAGGGGAAAAAAAGAGAGAGATCTAGTGCATGTTGATGACTGAGGAAGGGGAAGAGGACCGGCCATGAAGCTCAGTAAAGTCACTAGTCCAGAACACGTCGTCTTCGTTAAGCTCCGGAGGCAGAGTTGTCTCCAGAAAGCAGTGAGAGCGGTGCTTCGTTCAGTCAGAGCGAAAACGCTGAGAAATCTGTCAGAGGAGGGCAATTGACGATGACGGGAATTAACGGTGCCATTTTGGTCCATTTGAGTGTGACAGCTATGGTCCTACCTACTACTACTACTACTGTTGCCACCAGCAGTAGTGAAACTGCAGGACCGCGCGAGTAATCTGTTGCCGTTGGGATGGGTTTAGCTTCTGAGGATAGAGGTAGGATGAAGGAGAAGAGGAGAGAAGAAAGAAAGCGGCGGCAGCGGCAGCGGAGGAAATTTAAGAAAACCCTAGAGAGGAAGTATATGCAGGCGTCAGCGCATCGCGCGGGAAAAAAAGGCTGGTGACTCACATGTGCGGCACGTGAGAGGACGACGAAAACCATTCCAGGTCACAAGAGGCCTTCGGCTCTTATTTTATACTAGGAGATGTTCACCGTGCTCGTGCACGGTGGTAAGTTGTAGGTATGCCCATGTTGAGAGTACAGTAAATATTTATTTTAGAAGAGATTTGTTGTACAGAGAACTTATTAAGCTTGGTTGGAATTTTTTTTAATTCTATAGGTTATTTTATATTTAAAGAGATAGAACATTTAAAATTCCCTGTTTTCCTGGTGTACACTTAAGTATGCAAAGAAAATGAATATGCTATACTTTAAAATGTACACACGAGAAGTTAATGCTATTCCAATGTAATGCATTCAGTTTCAGTTGGATTGATACAAATTTTTCTTCTTCCCCAAAAACAAAGACACCATAGTGAGTCTACAGGGAGGAGAAACTCTAAAGCATCATCCACTCAATAAGCTAATAGCAAAAGCGGCTACATATTGACCCAGAGAATCCAGTATAAGCAGCCTGACATCCTATACCCAATTGCAACAGAAGGAAAAAGAACAAGGCAAAGAATCATAAATGCAAGAAACACAACTAAATAGCAACCTAGGCAAGAAGTAAATTATCACAAGGACACCAAAGCTTTCATAGTACCCTTTAATTTTCCAGTTTTGTGTGTGCATGTGAGAGAGAGGCAATAATTAATAAAAACATTACAATGCAAGTTCCAAATCACCGTGGTAAAGAAAAATGACATAATCCAAATACATTTTCGTTTTCTTATTCTATAACCTATGATATGCACTCTGGCTGCTTTTTAGCAGTGAGTGCAGAGGCATAGAGGCTAGAAAAACGAAATGTTTGCAGGCAACTTTTTCGGTGGGAGAGTTTTTCATAAGAAAAAGGAGTTATGGAGGATGGAATAATACATGAGCAAAAATAGTCCTTATACTAAACGTTGAAAAAAGAAACATGGCATAGGAAAATTTCTTATTTTGATAGATCTAAATTCACTCATTTTTCATGATGGAGTACACATGGAAACTATGATACCACGAGAACTGCTTTTCGACACCATACTCATAAAAAATTAGAACATTGTAGGTGTAAGCTGATTCAGGAAGGAAAGCTAAAATTTCGTCCAATTCCAGTTGATGCTCAGCAACAAAGACGTCCCAGAGATTATCCTTCTTTTCCTGTGGCATTTTTGCATAACGCTTGCGATGCTTGGCATTTCTATCCATTAAGCTGGCACCAATGAAGTAAATAATTCACACACTCCCAAACACAAGTTAGCTATCAGCCAAAAAATGCCAGAACAGTAGCAAGACATGAAGGTGATATATATGGCTACTCTCATACCACATAACATCTATAGTAGACAAACTATCCAAGCAAACTAACAGAAACAAGACCAACAAGAAAGGAATAGCAAATGATAGCCAAAAAAGGAAGGAAAACTTGCAAAATAAAAACAGAAGAGGCTAAACGAATTTACCAAAAAAGAATGAATGAGCAAGGAGGTTTAACAATAAAAGTCACATAGTTCGAAGAGTAGAAAGTGGTTACAACTCCAGGAGATGCACATACAATCTACATGTAAGAAAGGGAAGCAGCACATCTAGTGCAGCAACAGTGCGAAACCAAGGAAAAAGGAGCAAACATCTAGTGCAGAGCAGCTAACATAAATTGAAAAGGCATAAATACGTTTTCATTGCTCAACTAACAGCAAATGGGACAAATAACATAAAACACTGACGATTTATATCTATAAAAGCGAGTCCCAGTGAAAAAAACACACAACATTTCCTGAAAGAGGCAAGAGAAATAACAAAGAACAGTTCAAAGAGCAACGACATATGCAACGAGCAAATAGAATATCAAGCTAGACACACCGGAGGAACAACAGTCACTCAAAAACATTAGCATATAAAATAAGAACGTCACGGAGAAACGAGAAAACAAGTCATGAGTTTACAAACGCAATGCACACTATATAACCAGATAAGCAGTTGACAACCAGCTAATGCAAACCATTTAAAAGCAGTTACCATGGCAAATCAATATAATAATAGCCACTAATCTATTAAGGAAAACTGTTAATTAGTAAACAAGTCAAGCTGAATGCAGATTGGTAGAAGAACAACCTCATTGAGCTTTAGAACCTGGATAGCCAAGAAACAAGAAATATAATTTGATTAAAAGAAGTCTAAAGTAGAAACAGGAGGAACACCTCTTCCACCTCATGGCAACAAGGAGTATACTGATGCTGATGCCAAGAGTCAGAAAAAAGGAGCACACGCCTCCAAAGCAAAAGGATCACCAAGAGGAACAGGGATGCCGCAGCCAATAGCTACAGGATTAAAAAAAAGATCAAAACTTCAGCATGCACAAAAGAACAGAAACAAGGCAGAAAAACACGGGCAAAAAGTAAGAAGAAGGAAAGCAGGTCACAGAAGGCACTAACAAGCATTACAGCAAACAAATAAAGCGTAAAAAGAAAGGATCCGAAAGAAAACTGAGAAATGAGGAAAAAAATAAATAAAAAAGCAAGAGAAAATGAGAGAAAACCGAAAGAGAAGGAAAAAAACATCTGGAAGCAAAAGAAGAGTGAACATGTCACGGCCCCACCTCCCCCTAAGGCAAACCAAAGGGTTTGGCGAGTCGTCTGCCCGACTCTCGCCGGGACTCAGTCGTTCCTTAATCAAATCCAGAATAAATCACAAGAATATATAGGGCAGTAATCCAAACTTAAAGCGGAACTTATATACATTGCTATCTCAAAAGGAAGTACAGCCATCAAATGTACAAAGGTTCTCACTTCACCATACAACCAGCCCGTGCCAAGCACTAGGGCGAGAACCATTACAAAAGAAACAAAATACCTAGACTAGGCTAGTCTATGCTCTCATCCTGCTCGCCGTCCCCTATTAAGGAAAACAAAACTAAAGGGGTGAGTTAAAAGCTCAGTGAGGTTCCGAACAGATAATCAACAATCAATTCAATACATTAAACATGGAGTATTAATAATTCAAGAAACATTTACAATGGAAAGCAATAGTTACATTCATTAAAAGGATACAGGCTGACATGGAGCTATTCGTTCTTTCGTTCGTTCCCCTAACATTTCCCCTTATTCCTCCAATTATTTGAAAATTTCCTTTTTGAGAAATAAAACTCTCGTGCCTTTGTTCGTTCATTCATCCCTTTCCAGACATTGACCGGACTCCACCCATCTGGACGTTGACCGGACTCCACCCATCCGGACGTAGCCGGACTACAAGGTAATACTCGAGTATACCAAATTCACCCAGGGTCACCATATCGCCCGATCGAGTCCGCTTCTGGCTCGAGTCGATCGGTAACGAAGGGTAGGGCCCAATTCAGCCAAAAAGGCTTACATCATGCGCAACTAATGTTTCCATCATTAAATCATTGAAAATTTTACGTTTCATTAAGGTCGAGCGCGATAAAGTACACGCTCGCCTAGAAAACTCGTTTTAGAAATCCTTGAAAGCACTTAACACATTATCAAACAACAACAACAAGTCATGAAGTCAGGGAGAATATAACAAACAAGGAACACTCACCTAGTTATGCAAAATAACGTGCAAAATATCCTTCCGGATATTACCCTTAGTCACCAATGAAACCTAAGGTTGAACAAGAGAACATATTACAGTTTATCGAGCAAAACATTTAAGGGAAACAAAGAAACCCGACTAATTAGGAGTAAATCGTGTAAAGATGACTTTCAAGTAAGAAGAGGGTTGTTTGAACCCAAGGATGAAAAATCATGTTTTAAAATGGAAAGCCGGTCATGGTATTGGCCAAACAAAAGTATTCAAGTTCAAATAGGAACCTAACCCTCGAGCGAAAATTTGGGCAGCACGCCCTTTGTGTTTACCTAATTTTCCAGCCATTTAGGCTTCATTATTTTTCCTCAGCCAATCCCAAAGTCATATATATCATAAATGCAAGTCAATAGCCATTCCATAGGCTCATAACATCATAAGAATAAGAATCAAAGTCGTAACAAGTGTGGAAATACAATCTAGCAAAAGACAGATTTGACGTGTGGTTGTGGAAATAACACATCCGAGGCTACGCTTATCGGATTGAGGCACAACTTATACCATTTCGAAGGTAAGACACAGGGCTACAATGTTCATGAATATCACTTAGTCCAGTTTCCAATGCAACCTAGCCAAATCCTCAATTTACAGAACCAAAATCTCACTCGTCGGCTATTTAACCGATCTGCACTGGAATGGTCATATCTTAGGTTACCAAGGTCCATTTAGGGTGTTCTTGTAGGTGTTAGAAAGCTTAAATAGATTACTAAAACTTTCATGTTTTGGAAAAAAGCTAAATCAGCATGGATCCTAGTGAACAAACATGATAAACTGGATGAACTGACGAAAACGGAACACTGGAAATTTCCTAAAATAGTGAGGGTATTTTGGTCTTTTCACAGGCTACGTTGCTCCGATTGAGCTGAAATTTTGCAGGCACCTCTAAAATGTCATTCCCTACAACTTTCATGTTTTAAGCTAAGGCCAATTCGGCCTCTAACATAGGGCAA